CTTGAACTCCTGACCTTGAGCGATCCTCCCACCTCAGCCTCCCAGAGTGCTAATATTACAGCGTGAGCCACCACGCCCAGCCCTCAGTGTTGTTTTAATTCGCATTTCTCTTATGAATAGGGTCGTGAGCATCTTTTTATATTTAATGGCCATTTGTTTTTCCTTTTCTGTTGAATTGTGTGTTTATAGCCTTTGTCAGCTTTTTCCCCCTTTTGATTTGTAGGGATACTGTATATAGTGGGGAAGTGAGCCCTTTTTGTGATATAAGTTTTTAACTCATTTTTCTAATGTGTCCTTTGCTAATTGGCGTTGCTTATAATGGCTTTTGGCATGAAAATAATTTTAATGTAGTGAAACTTAGCAGTCTTTTCAATGACTTTGGTTTTGTGTCATAATTAGAAAGACTAATCTTGTTCTGAGATAATGTAAGAATTTTCATATGGTTTCTTATAGTACTTGTATGGTTTCTTCTTTTTTTCTTTCCATGTATAAATCTGTGATGTATCTAAACTTTATTTCAATGAAGGGTATGAGATAATGGGTCCAACTTTTTTTTTCAGATGGCACCTACTCGGCCTGACACCATATTTTGAATCCTTTCTCCTTGAATTTGAGATTGCAACTTGATCATTTACTAAATTCTCTATGTATTTGGGTTTACTTCTGTATTTTCTGTGCTATCCTATTAATCTCCTATTGATGTGCCACATGTTTTAATAATTATAGTTTATTATTTTAATATCTGGTGGGGTTAGTTCCCAGTTTTTGCTCCCCCTTTCTGAGATTTTTATTGTCTTTGTTTTTTTTTCCATTGGAATTTTAAAATCAGTGTAAGATCTAAAGTCTAGTATGAAAAAATCCTGTTAGTGTTTTCATTAGGTCCATTTTTAAGTCTGAGGTTAACTGAAAGAGAGTCAATTATCTTTATGCTGCTGAGACTTTGTTCCATTGTTCTTTTGTATCCCTCAGGAACATTTTAGAGATTTTTTTAAATACAGATACTTCTCATTTCTTGAGAGGGTTGTTTTTGACATTTTATCTTTTCATTGCCCTCTTAATGCAACAAATTAATGTTGGGATATTAAGTGTTCTAAGAATGTATCTCAAAACTATTCTACACATTTGGTCAAGATGGAGAGATTGGACCACTCTCCAGCCATAAACAACTAGAATTTTGCACAAAATATATGAAACACCAGTTTTTAGACATGGGACAAAAGGCAGCTCTGGACTTACTTGTCCAGAAAGAAGGTAAAAGAAATGAGGTGAGCTCTATGATTGCATGAGCTTATTTCCTGGGAGGTAGTTTTCAGGCTGTAGTGCAGGAAGGCAGAAACTTGACAGAACTCTGGTAAGTCTTGCTGAGTTGAAAAGACCCAGATCGGAGTTTTGTTTTTTTTTTTT